AGGCATAGAAGCCCTTCTCCTCCTAAATGTAGGCACGGGCGCCCTATTCCTTCTTGAAGACCCCCTAATTGAACCTGAAGAAGAAGAAGAATAGGGTTTTACGACGACACAAACCAATATAAAAAACGATCATGACCAGAAGAGAAAAATTACCTGTTGAAGGGAGGGCCGGTCTGAACTTCTGAAAGAAGCTCGACCAGTCACGGATCCCCACGGTGTATGGGAGAACCTACCGACCAATTCAGCAATACATATCGCTAGAGGAGGAGGACGATTATCGGCTGCAGGTAAGGAAGAATTATTCGACCAAGTCGAAATAGACAAAATGCTTTAAAAGGTAAAAATAAAAGAAACTCGAAACTTACATATATGGTTTCGGGCCTTAGGGAAACCGTCAACATTAGCCATAACGGCCTCAATCTTGACATAGAAGTAGTCGAGCCAGAATTGCCGACTACCCTTATCGTCCATCTGCACCACCAAACACTTGCTCCCATGATGACGAAGCTTCAACATCGTCTATCTGTAGAAGCTAGGTGCGAATAGATGCACCAAGTGCCACACCATCACCTCGACTCCGTCAAGCTCAGCAAATTTTGACAGCATCTTGATGACCTTATAAACATAAGGGGCGAGTTGAGCAGGGCAAACGCCATAATGGCAGCAAACTCCTCCACCAGCGGGAGAAGGGGGAACAAATAGCTAATAGTAAACGGGTAGGTGTAGAGAGAACAATACTTGGGACGGTGAACGTGCACTTCGTCCTCATCAGCGGGGATCAATCCAATGTAGTTGGAAAGGCCAAACTTGGCTTTGAATTCAGCCAAGTGCTTAGGCGCCATCGATGATAGAAATTTTTCTAGCGTCGCATCCGGCGACCTTTGAAAGTCGAACCTAGCCTCAGGGTTTCAAGGTATGATCTCCTCCACTGTAGGAAGAGATTCATCTTCTGCGACGACGACAGTGTCCTCCCCGTTGAGCAGGGAACACAACAGCTAAAGGGACGTCGTGACTCTCTTCATCAACATTAGAAGAAAGGTTAGCATGTTTATGAAGGAAGATGAGAGTATGAAAGAAAGTTAAATCTCAGAAGACAAAGAAGATTCAAGAGAAGAAACGGAGTTTATGAGAGCAAAGATAGTATGAGTTTCAATAATGAAGAAACAATCCCTATTTATGGAGATTAAAGCACCAAATCCAAAATGATTCATCACAATTGGCACTAGAATCGAAACGACAAAATCATTCAAAGGTCACACGTGAATCGATGCAATGCGTCGGGAATCGGCATCAACATGACGCATGACGTCATGATGTCACATCTTCTCTTGGACCAGATGGTTCCAACAAATCACCCAAAAAATTTAAGGGTTTGAAACATGTGTCCCACAAAGAGCCACGTCGCCTGTTTGTCACAACGATCACGACCACTGTTATCTGTTCAGCGAACTCGACCACAAAGACTACCATGAACGCTATTATCCGCTCATTGAACTCGCCCACGAAGACGACCTCGACAAGCAGAGGGACTAACTGTATGTGCTAAAATTATCCTAGTTATGTGTGGGCCATGTCAACATTAAAAGAACCTTCGAAGGCTGCCACGCGTCATCGATGTGTTTTCAACAAAGTACGAAGACGAGATCGAGCTGACTCAGTAGAAGACGAGGACGAGCACTCCTTTTTGAAGAGCAGTAACGACTAGTTTTAGAGATAAGATATTGTAGAGAATATTCTAAGGGATATTCCTCCCATCCGTACTATTAAGGTTTTTGTGGTCCATGCATCTTTATAAATAGAAAGAAATGTAGTTACATGGAGGATTTGACACTCATTGTAAAAAATAATACATTGACATTCTCTGAAGAGTCATGTTTTATTACCTTCTCCGTTTCAATTTAGATGAGGTAGTCTGAATCGGCACGGAGTTTAAGAAAAAAAAAGACTTTTGAAACTTGTGGTCTTAAAAGCTTAAGGGGCAAATCTATGTGGGACCATGACATTTGTATGGTTATAAATGCTTCTAATTAAGGGTAAAATATGGGTAAAATAAAGAGTTTAAAATTGAATTATTTCCAAATTTAGAAATGTGTAATTTATTTTCGAACAGACTAAAAAGGAAAGTACCTCATCTAATTTGAAACGGAGGGAGTAAATACATACAAAATACACTTTTTCTTCAGATCTGTATCTGACTTTTCTCCTACGATCCAAGGAGAATCCGAATATTCAAAGGCTCATCAATCACTTATCATTGTCAGGAGGAATACCAAAGAATCTCATTCTTTTTGGGTTACCTCACTTGCATTTATTTACATAAATGCTATTATATATAAATTATTACTATTTAATGTTATTCCCTTTGTTCTTGGATCATCGAATATTGTTCACTGTCGCGCATTTATTGTTATTTGAACGGTACTCGTGATATTTTGCTACGAAATCAGTTAAATAAACTTTTGGATATTAATATTGTCTATTCTATTAGAAAATCTAATTGTTTAAACCTAGATCTGAATTTTGGGTCAAACAATATACTTAAGTTGTATTGACTCATATACTGATATCCTGGGACGAATCTAGAATTAAAAGTTTCTGATTTTTATAACGATTTTAAGATAATATAACAATAATAATGGTTTCACAATCAAAAATACTTATGTGTTAAAAAATGTAGCTCAAAGTAACAATATAAAACAAGAAGATAAGTAGAATAAGAGAAGAAGAGATAACTTTCTTATTTCATCAAGTATTTAAATGTATTCCATCTCACATTTCATGCCTCTATTTATACTATTACATATGAAGGTTACAAAATCGTTGTCTTAAACATGGCATTAACAATTGAGATCATGGGGGAAGATCATGGGGGAAGNTATTTTTCATAGCTTGGGCGATTTTCGGGAAGCTTCAAGAGAGGGTTTTTCATCATCAATGATAAGGTAAGTTATCCCCACCTATTATGAGTTAAATACATCAATTATTGTAAGGATTTGAGCATGAAATTGGTTGAAATTTGGGGGTTTTGGTAGAAAGACCTAGAAATTATATTCTTGGAATTTAACCACGATTTTGAGTATGGAATTTCGTGAAAATTATATATTTGAGTTCCTAAGGTCATGGGTAATCTTTATCTTCGAAAAATTTCAGATTCTGGGCACGTGGGCCCGAGGGCATTTTTGTCAACTTTTCGATCGGAGTTAGGAATTTCTATAAATTAGATTGTAACGAATATTTGAGCATATATTAATGGATTTGCGTAACCGTTGGCTAGTTTTGGAGCGTGGTGCATCAATTAGAGTCTTCGGAAGGGCGTGGAATGCCGATTATGGATCTTCGGAGCGAGGTGAGTCTCCTTTCTAACCTTGTAAGAGGGAATTGTCCCCCTAGGTGAAATAATTGATTATGTGCTCCTATTTGCGGGGGCTACATACGCACGAGGTGAAGAGAGTCCGTGCGTAGCTACTATTATGCCATTGTCCGGGTAGTTAGGGCCCAAAAGCATGTTATACTTGGATTATTTATGAACCTATTGATAGCTTGTATTGCTTAAATCACCTTGGATTAGTAAATGAATTTAAAAGGAGATTAAACATCATTTTTCCTGAATTGTTAAAAAGAGAAATTGTTATATTTGGATAAATATTCCCATTCTTAATTGACTGGTTGAGCATGTATCTCTATGTGTACCTGCGTCGCATGCATGGTTCGCGAGCAGGGTATGTGTTTATTTATGGAACATGCCGAACGCCTTGGCAGATTAAATAGATGCATCTATAGGCGCGCCGTCGACCCTCGGCAAGTGCACAATTTATTTCTGTTGGATCGGGCCGTCGCCTCGGTGTGATTTGCGCATGTTATATTGTTGCTTGAGAATTTAAAATGTGAATTATGCCCTTCGTGGCTTGATATAAATTGATAAGATAATAAAGAGTAAACCTTGAAATTCCTTGATTATTTGTTGAAGGAGTTTACCTGGTTTCTGGCTTCGTGAATTAGGACTGCTGTATAAATCCATGATTTCCTCACATTTTTAGTATATTGTCAATTGACCTCTAGTAAGTGTCGAAGTTGACCATCTCGTCTCTACTTCTTCGAGATTAGACGGGATACTCATTGAGTACACGTTGTTTACGTACTCATACTACACTTCTGTGCATTTTTGTTGCACAGCTATATTTATCTCTAGCAGCCCACTGGGCATAGCAGCACGGATGATTCGGGGACTAGGTGAGTTGCATATTTCGAGGCGGCCCGCAGCTAGTAAAGTTCCTTCCAGCAAATTGTATTTTCTTTCTGTCCACTGTATTCCGGACGGATGTTGTATTGTATTTTATTTTCTTATCAGTAGATGCTCATGCACTTGTGACACCGGGTTCTGGGATGGTTTCTAAATATTTTGTATTAATTGCTAGTATTTAATTTGAATTCGTTAAAAAAATGTAGCTCAAAGTAACAATATAAAACAAGAAGATAAGTAGAATAAGAGAAGAAGAGATAACTTTCTTATTTCATCAAGTGTTCAAGTGTCTTCCATCTCACATTTCATGCCTCTATTTATACTATTACATATGAAGGTTACAAAATCGTTGTCTTAAACATGGCATTAACAATTGAGATCATGGGGGAAGATCATGGGGGAAGATCATGGGGAGGGGTTATGGAGGTGTGGGAGTTACAATCATAATGGTGATGAGTAGTGGGAGGTAATTTACATCATGGGTGAAAGTAGTGGGAGTAGTGGACATCCACATTTACTAAGTATTTTATAACACTCCCCCTTGGATGTCCAAAAAATAGATAATATGCCTCGTTAAAACCTTACTAAGAAAAAACCCTGTGGAAAAAAATCTTAGTGAAGGAAAAAGAGTACACATATCTCTAATACGCTTTATTTGCTGCCTCGTTAAAAACCTTACCAGTAAAACCCAGTGGGACAAAACCTAGGCTAAGGGAAAAAGAGTACAACGCGTATCTTACTCCCCCTCATGAAAATATCACTATATTTCTCGAAGACGTCGCATTCCAATCTTCTGTCTCAACTTCTCAAATGTTGAGGTTGGTAAAGCCTTAGTGAACAGATCAACCAAATTTTCACATGAACGAATCTGTTGAACATTAATTTCACCATTTTGTTGAAGATCATGCGTGAAAAAGAACTTTGGTGAGATATGCTTTGTTCTGTCTCCTTTGATGTATCCTCCTTTCAATTGAGCAATACAAGCAGCATTGTCTTCATATAGTATTGTTGGATTATCCTTTTTCATAAGAAAACCACACATTTCCTGAATATGCTGAGTCATTGATCTTAACCAAACACATTCCCGGCTAGCTTCATGAATGGCTATTATCTCAGCATGATTTGAAGATGTGGCAGCTATTGTTTGTTTCATTGAACGCCATGATATAGCAGTACCTCCATATGTAAACAAATAGCCTGTTTGAGATCGGGCTTTATGTGGATCAGACAAATAACCTGCATCGGCATAGCCAATCATTTCTAACTTGAATTCATTAGAATAAAACAATCCCATATCTATGGTTCTCCGAAGATATCTAAATATATGCTTAACACCANAACAAACGAAAAAAAAATAAAATAGAACAAATATAACCTGAACAACGAAAAGAGCTCAGCTTCGTGCTGATAACGTAGTTAAAAAATGTAGCTCAAAGTAACAATATAAAACAAGAAGATAAGTAGAATAAGAGAAGAAGAGATAACTTTCTTATTTCATCAAGTGTTCTAGTGTATTCCACCTCATATTTCATGCCTCTATTTATACTATTACATATGAAGGTTACAAAATCATTGTCTTAAACATGACATTAACAATTGAGATCATGGGGGAAGATTATGGGGAGGGGTTATGGAGGTGTGAGAGTTACAATCATAATGGTGATGAGTAGTGGGAGGTAATTTATATCATGGGTGAAAGTAGTGGGAGTAATGGACATCCACATTTACTAAGTATTTTATAACATTATGAATATATACAATAATAATGCATTAATTAATATATCTACATGGTTCGGATAGATTGAGTTCCTTTGAATCCATAAGTTATCGGGTAAATCTACCTATGCCAATATCAATGATACGTACATTTTACTATCTGTAATGTATTTGTGCACTATTGTTTATTAATACAAGTCAGATCTCTCTATAACAACATCCCTATATAATCATTTACTATAAAAGCTTAATTTTTTTCAGAACCGATTTTTTATGTTATATTTTACCTCTCTATAACAATATTCTACCTATAACAGCAACATCCATCTTTATGACAGTACGCTCTTTGTGAAATTACCCCTCTATAACAGCCATGCAGATTTCCTAAGATTATTACTAATAATAATTCTAAATATTTAAGCAAATATTTTATAACTTTAATGTACAACTTATAATAGCTATATATATTATCTTAAGGATAGCAGTATGTTCCAAGAACATATGCACGTCAGATATTTTTATAACTAAAAATCTACAAATGATATATCTTGCATTAGAAAAATGCCAAAAGATACTTAAAAGATCTATTTATACTTTTTGAAGATATGCATATTATTCTTTTTTTATTTGAAGATGTACACATGATATATCTTATATTGAAGATGTAATATGTAAACGTAATCTATTCGTATTTTTTAATTGTGTGCCTTAGAGTTTAAATATTTGTGTGTTTAGTTAAGAACTTTTTTAACAATATATTAGATTTCTTTAGCATTTAATTCGTGAAGTATTTATATCTTTTGAGATTTTGAATTTAAATATTTTATTAATCTTTTTTATATAATATTATAAAAGAAAAATAATTAGTTTTTGGATAATTTTTGTCTATAACAGCCAAAATATATTTAAATGCCAAATATTGTTATAGGTGCATAACATTCATTCACTGTAAAAGATGAAAAATTTCGAAACAAACGATGCTGTTATAGAGAAGCTTGGTTGTACTTTGGATATTAGTATTCTATTATATTTTGACACCTTTGTTTTCTTTCTACTTTCCCCACAAGTAACAATTTTTTTTTCCCCACAAGTAACATGCATGCCTGTTGGAAGTCCTAAAAAAAATTGAACACGTTAGTTATTTATAGTAGTTAAAATCCAGTCGTTGGTCCTTACACGTGGCTAAAAAAGGCCAACCATTTGGAACCAAACCGTCCAACTGTGTGTAGGAAGGTGAACCAAGAAAGCTAAACACACCTTTTATTTGAATCTCTTGATCCTTATGTTGAATCTTCTTATGTGGTTGGAACAATTTGGACCTCAAAAATATTCGCAATTCTGATAAATAAACATTTTCAAGGAAAAGTTCTACTCTTTTACTTTCCTTTTTCTTGTCCAAATAAAAATACCTCAACTTCTTGATTTTTTCCCTCACTTTGCACCTAGTTGTCTCTTTGTCTAAGTACATGAACTTGTGAATTTACTTGCCAAGTTCCAATTTTTTTGGTACCCCATTTCATTTTTCCTCTTATTTTCATTTGGGTATCTTTTAATTTTCTTGAATTATTATTTGGTTTTGAAATCTTGGTTAAAAATGGTGGGGGCATTGTGTGTTGTGGGTTCATCTATGGTGGATTCACATTCTAGTCCTTGTTTGTGTTTGGATGCTTTGCCTACTTGTAACAAATTGAGTGTTGGGGATTCAGTTTTGTATAAGAATTCTTCATCAATTGGTAGGAAACAATTGCCACGTTTGGGATCAATGGAATTGAGCAGTTCTTTTGTAGATTTGAGGTTTTCAACAAAAGCATTTAAGGGTAATTACAAGAATTTAAAGAAGGAGAAAAAGAGTAGGAAGAATCTTGTGGTTGTCAGTGATTTAGGTGGACAGTATGAATATGGCTTTGATGATATCAAAACGGTGAGCAAGCTCTAACATTTCTAGTTAATTTGAAAAAAAAAAAGGATTTATATAATTGTCGTCGATTAGTTTGAGACTGAGACGTAGTTGTTGTTTAAATACGGTTATGAGACTTATGTTTATTAGCCCATTTTGTTTTACACTCGTATATTCAAAGAAAACGTGCATAACTTGTGAAATTTGTAGGTGTGATTGGTCACAAAAATGTTGAGTATATATTGGGATTAAACCGTAACTATATTACCCTATTTCCTCAATGATACAAAATGCATTTACACCACCATCTTATTGAAACAAACACCAAAATGTGATTAGATGTTGAAACTACACATAAATGGTACTTGTAGTCGGGGGCGGAGCTACATGGTCTATAGGGGTTTCGATTGAATCTCCTCCCCGGAAAATTATACTGAGCATTGAGGTAATAAGATCTTCTTGACACAAGGGTATCTTCTAGTGTAGTGGTAAATATGGCTCTAATATTACTTTAGGTTGTAGGTCTAAATACTAGTTGTGGCACTGTTTAACACTCTTTTTGAATTTACTTATCAGAATGCCTGCCTTTGTCGCTATTTCTAGTTAGGATCTTCTAGGAATTGAATACCATTATTGATTCCGAGTAGGGGGAAGGAGCTGTAAAGTAGTGAGAAATTCATTGTATGACTTCCTTTAGGTGGAGTTTAGGTAATTAACCTCTGGTTGTCTGGTATAATCCAAAGGGGACGAAAATATATATGGTTCCTACTTTCTGTCCAACTTTTCAGGGGCTAAAATAGGGAGATGGCCGAACATTGCCCCTGCCCAATCTTACTTGTGGTCCTCTGTAACTTTCTTTCTGAAAGGGAAAACAACACACAAGCATCCCCTTTTTGAGGGGTTAAAAAAGGGGAGATGGACGAACATTGAAACCGCCCAATCTTACTTGTGCTCTTCGATCACTTTCTTTGTGAAAGGGAAGAAGACCCGAAGCATCCTCTTTGTTTTCCCTTCTCCCACTTTTCCTCTTTTCACCCCAACCAAATGTAGCATTCAGAGAGGAGTGCAGTGGTTTATTGGCTGTTTGAATTTTTTGCTTGCGAGTTTTAAGTTATTTTTCTCTTCTGATCTTTCTTTTGTGGTGAACATGAACTGTTTGAATTGTTTGTTGTGTTAATAATGTTTGCATTGTATCAAAGATTTGAAGCAGATGTGCCATAATACAGTCTATCGTAGTATCACCTGCTCTTTCGCATCATTTTAACATGGTAGGTTGTTGTGATACGTACTAGCTGATGACGAGATTGGTAGTTCTTGGGAAGTTGTAATTTTGGATTTGGCAATGTAAGCTTCTCCTAAACCGTGCTTCTGAATAAACAATGGTTAGAATGATAATCTGATAAAGAGTTCTAGCAAATACTTCATCTTCTACTAAAGATATAACTCTTCGATTTGAAGATTTTATAAATGTGTGGTTTTCCTTTTAGAAAGGATATGAACACTCTCACCCAACGAAAAAGTAAAAAAAACTGAGAGCAGCCTAACTTTCTTTCTATTATGCTTCCCTGCAACTAAACAAATAGGGGTAGGCTGCTTGTTTTCTGCTTTAGCTTAGCACTTCAGTCAATTTAGCCAACAAGGACCGAGTAACTGACTTAGCTAAAAAAAATTCCTCCTCAATCACTGTTAGGTTTTGACTAGAATTCAGTCTACTCGTGAGTTAAAGTGGGTATTTTAGCTAGGCTAATAAACCCATACGCCTTTTATGGTTTAAATATTATGTTATACTTGATCCACATGTCGCTTAACAGCACAGTAAGCTACTCATTTTAAGTGTCATGTAAAATAAGTACCAAATGCATTTCTTCTTGGAAGTCATTAGTTCTGAATCATTAATCAAGTTGAGATTTGAATTTCAAGAAAAGGACTACGTTCTTTCGAGAGTTTTTATGAGTATGGAAAATGAGACTAATCTGAAATCCCTTCACAATTACAAATCCCAATAACCTTTGGTAATGCCTTTTTACTTCCTTCAGATACTAGTTAATTTTCTGGAAAAGAAAAATGTGGCGAGCTACATAAAATGCAGCTCAATATTTCTGTCTTTGGTATCATGAACTGCTCATTACCTTGCTAATTCCATCTTCCCCTATGAGATCCAGGAGAACAGCAATATGATCATGGTTGAATATACTCTCCCTCTCTCTGTTGTCTTTTTTTATCAGTAACTGAAGAATTCAATGTTTTCAGCTTTGAATCTTTGTGTACCTTCTCCACTTAAATCCCAGGCTTGGTTCCTAAGTAGGAAATCCAAACTTGTGACGTACACCTACCACACTTCCCTAGCTGTACTACCTTTTTAACCCAACGCCCAGGTGGCGGTTGAATATACTTTCTCTTTGAATAGTTATGTAGAGATTTGCATATAAGACAGTACTAGGAGATAGAGAATGTTGCACGGTCATGTGATGATAAACTCTTTCGATTATGTTCCTCTAAATGGTATGCTACACTTGGATCAACCTTGTGAGGACAAAAGTCCAACTTTTTATTCTTCTCAGACTGATGCTATTGTTAGTTCAAGGGCTATTTCGTTTTGAATCTCTAGCTATATCTGTTTAACTGCCAAAAATGTTGTTATATCACGGAGAATCTCTGGCGTAAAGAATTAGTCGGTTGATTTTTGGGATATACCTTCCAAATATGACATAATCCTTCTTTGATTCTGAAGTATTCTCATATTTTACTGCTTAACAAGATCTGAAACACTTGCATTTTTTCTGCAGCAAATTCTTAATTACTTCACATTTAAAGCAGTGAGGACTATTTTGAACCAACTTAATGAAATGGACTCTCCACAATATCAATGGTTCAATGAGTAAGTACATATTTTCCTCTCAAAAGTATCTTTTCAATGAATAAGAGTGTGTCCTATGGTCTACTGGTTCTCAGATTATCAAACAGAAATGCCTAAATCTAGAGTTATTTCACTTGGTCGTGATATTTTACGGCTAAAGAGAGCAGTAATCACTGCAGTACTGATGTCAATCTTTTGAGCTTGTTCACTTTGTTTCTTGACTATCTGTTTTCAACAGTTATGTTACAGTAAATAAGCTTAGGGATGGGAAGCGTTTTATTCGCAACCTTGCTAAGGTAAGTCTTCTTGACCTCCATTTTTGTACATCAAGTGTCTTAATTTAAGTAACTATGGACTTTGCATCTTTGAAATGACTTCCGAGCTCTTGACAAAGATTTTAAAAAGAGAAAAGAAATCACTCTCACAAGAAAACGAAAGCGAGCTGACAACTTCTTACGATATTCTTGACAGGAGAAGCAAGAACTCGCTGAAAAAGTGATGGTAACACGGCTCAGTCTGTATGCGAAATGGATAAAAGTAAGAACTAAAACGCTTTTGCGTCAGAACTTTTGGACATGGAACTGTCATACTTATTTGTTTTATTTTATTTTTGCTGCTGATCTATTGTAGAAATGTGATCACGAGGAGATCTACAACCGAATATCTGATCAGAACGTGGAAGTGATGCGTGAGCGGCTCATGGAAACTGTGATTTGGCCATCAGATGACACGAACTCGGAGAGAGTTGGGTGAAAGAAACTCATTGTGCACTGTTGATTTCACTTCACTTTTCTCTTTCAGATTCTATTAGCTTCTCACTGAAATTTGCAGCAAATTAGTTTATGTTGTATTCTTCCGAGATCACCGGGATTCTTGAACTTAAGCTGTATATAAAAGGGATTTTGTATTTCATATTCAGTATATCAAGAAGGGGAGCCTTGGCGTAATTGGTCAAGTTTCTGCCATGTAACCAGGAGTACACGAGTTCAAGCCGTGGAAACAACCTCTTGCAGAAATTTAGCGCAAGGCTGCGTACAATAGACCCTTGTGGTCCGGCCCTTCCCCGGACCCCGCGCATAGCGGGGCTTAGTGCATCGGGCTGCCTTTTTTTTTTTTTTTTTTTTTAATATTCAGTATATCATTCAAGATTAGTTAACTTCTTATGGAAATGATAGATCAGCCTGGAGTCTTAGAAATTGCAGTTTCTTTCTGATCCTAGAAAACGTACGAAACAACCTGCTATGGAACTACCGATAAGGGGCAAAAAGACTTTACTTAGTCGAGGCATCATGTCTTTACTTTATGCTTTGCGCTGTTTGCCTTACTGTACGACCACGGAGAAGGCTACCACATCAAGGTGACAGGATTCGAACCTATGGCCCTCTGTACCCAAAACAGATACGCTGACCAGATTGTGCTACACCTCGTCTTACCACCCCGAAGCATATAGATCCACGCGATTGATGAACACTCAAACCGAACTCGCCCAATGCAATTCCCAACTTCTGTGGTCTTTTCTCTGGAAGATGTTAATGTACAAATACATTCCTGAAAATATTTCTCTCTTCCTGACTATATTGCAAGTGGAATTTGAGTTTCTTCTATTGTGAAAACTGAAATTACAATAATGAGAAACTTGAACTGAATTGGCTAATGATATGGTTTTCAGTTTTTTTGAAATTATTATAGTGTCCCTTTTTCTTTCTCCATATTGCAGTGGTTATGCATGCTTGCTTTGAACCGAGACTCTATTGAAAACAGAGTCCGTCGCCCCTTTGATTACCGTAATGCTAATAGTATCTTCATTCTTCAGCCAATATTAATATCGTCCTTCATTAGTTTTAGCAACAATTGGAAGAAACTTTTTTTATGAAACAATGGGAAGAAACTTATTGGTTCTCTTCTGAGAATTTCTTAAATTTTCTCACATGTATATGTTAAATGATTAATTACCTAATGTAATTCATGTATATCTTCATCAACACATCAAGAGTATAGAGAGACCAAGTGATACTTCTTTTCAAAAACATTTCCTTCTTGTGGGGGAAAGGAGTGGCCACTAAACTAACGATTATAATAAGGATCTGTCATATACAATGAGAATATAAAATTTTCTTTACACTATCAAGTGTAATTTAACTTATTATAGCAGGGTTAATTACCATGCTTTTCAAGTTAAAAATTAATGCCTATAATACAGTCACCTTATAAATAACTTGATTATGCAAATATTCTTGTACATGGAACCTAAACTCTTTTGATCCGCGACGATGGATGTCCCAGCCATTGAAAGAGTACTGCCTTAGAAAGGGTAAATCCTGTATCTGATTAAGACATTTGTACCAATAGATAGGAATGGATGCAACAACAACAACGGACAAGTGGAGGATAAGATGTAGGCGACTTTACGCCTACCTTGGGAGGGCACAAAGAATGTTTCCGATAGTCCAATAGAGAGGAATGAATGATGATATAGAATATAAATTTGCCTACCATGTTGACAGAATGAAAAATAGGTAAGAGATACTTTGTAAATTTGTGCTCAAGTAATGAACGAAGAGTGACTGAATTGATCGAACATGTAGCTTTGTCGAGGACAAACGGGCACCTTGTTATGGAATGCTGTAGCATTTTTTGGGACGCAGAAAAGAGAACTAAGACAACTAAAACCGAGAACAAGAATCAGAGGCAACTCCAAAAGCATATATAGGTTATGTAACATGATACTAATTTCGATTCATATGTAAGTTTTTCAGGAGAGGTGACATGGTGTATGTTATTTGTTGATGACATAGTTCTGATTGACGAGACGCAGGATCTGAGAGGCTGGAGGTTTGGAGGCAGACCCTGGAGTCTAAGGGTTTCAAGTTGAGCAGGATTAAGACAGAATACTTGGAGTGCAAGTTCAACAACGTTGCCCAGGAAGCAGACATGGAGGTGAAGCTTGATACACAAGTTATCCCCAAGAAAGGTAGCTTCAAGTACCTTGGATCTATAATACAAGGTAACGGGGAGATTGAAGAGGAAGTCATGCACCGTATCGGAGCTGGATGGATGAAGTGGAGGCTCGCTTCCGGTGTGTTGTGTGATAAAAACGTGCCGCTGAGACTTGAAGGTAAGTTCTACAAGGTTGTAGTTATACTGACTATGTTGTATGATGCAGAGTGTTGGCCAATCAAGAACATTCATGTCCAGAAGATAAAAGTAGCTGAGATGAGGATGTTAAGTGGATGCGTGGGCATACCATGTTGGATAAATTAGGAATGAAGTTATCCGGGATAAGGTGGGAGTGGCTTCTATGAAGAAAAGATGCGAGAGGCAAGATTGAGATGGTTCGGGCATGTTAAAAGAAGTATAGAAGCCCCAGTCATAAGGTGCGAGAGATTAACCTCAGTGGGTATCTGGATGGGCCTAAGAAGTCTTGGGGCGAGGTTATTAGGCGGGACATAGCACAACTAGAGTTGACTGAGGACACTGCCCTAGATAGGAGGGTGTGGAAGTCGAGGATTAGGGCAAAAGGCTAGTAGGTAGTCGAGTGTATCTCTTTGTCTTTCCTAGTTCGCTAGCATTAGTGTTAGTACAATATCCGTTTAGTCATAAATTGCTATTATTACCTAGAGTTTAACTGCTTTCTTGGCTTCAGTATTTTTATCTTGTTGCCACTACTTTTGTCATCCGTTCTCCAGCCAAGGGTTTATCGGAAACAGCCTCCGTCCTTCTAGGGTAAGGGTAAGGTTACGTACATCTCATCCTCCCCAAACCCCACTTGTGGAAAAATACAGGGCTTCTTGTTGTATGTAGGTATTTTAAGGCACCAGAAACAAAGTCCACGATCAGATAAACAGAAAAAACTTCAAAATAAGCAGATATGAGGGACATAATGCCACTGGAGGGGCAATTGAATCAAGAGTAACATCTAGTGGTAGAAAGCGAAAAAGAGAACTCTGGTTTATGTAATCAGTTTCAACCTGTCTGTAGTGCAGGACAGACAAACTAGTAATCTCATTTAAAAAACTAAAAGCTATGGACATAAACTCCATGAAGAGTGAAAATATGTTCAAACAAAAAATGATAATTCCAGATGGTCTAAATCTTGGAGAGAAAACTATACATAATACTATGCCAAAACTATGCTTGTTGTCGGAGTTGCAATGAGATGCCAACTGCCCATAGGGCTGCTCATTGCCTGGCTCGAGCGATAAGAGGCCGGCCTTGGGAAGGACCCTGTTTACATGGAGTACCCAAGCCTAAAGTTGGCCCGAGCACATCAACACACATTTCATCACCACATATATTTGTACTTCATGCATAAGAGCTCAGTTCAACTATAAGAGATGCTGATTGCTGAGTACAGAGCAATCTAAAATAGCCATATCAACCAGACACTTCTGCTTTCCGGATTGTAAGCATTCAGCAAAGAAAGTAGCTGAGGTCAATTCTCCAAAAATATGAGGCTCATGGCTAAATGCTAATAATGCGTCAAGTTTCAGAAATCAGCCATCATCTTCAGTACAAACACTCGAGCCAAGAAAAAAAGGTGAAGTGGAATCTAATTTTCAAGTCGACAGTGGATTTCAATACTATATACCTTGTGCTACAGGTAGATCAAGGAAAAAAATTCTCTTAACATTCGAATAAAATATATGGACCAGTGGCAGGATAGAAAGTACCGCTTCTCAGCAAAACAGGTAAATAGATATTAACACAATCCCTCGTGTTTAAGCAGCCTAAATACTAAAACTAAAACCCCTAAAATGGAAAAAAGAGATAATGACACCTAATTATTTATTCCCAGCACAGAACCCACAACGGGAAATGAAAGGGCTTATAGGGGGATACAGAATAACAGGTGCAACAATTATAAACAATATTACACTTGGAAAAAAAAGATACAAAATTGCGGCTGGGGCACAGAATGATACAGTTGAATATGGCCTGATAGGCCACACAATCAATAGTCGAGCAACTCCAAGCAAAAGCCTTGAATTTGAAAAATGCTGGAGTGAAAGCTTAAACCTGCAACAAGAAGTGAGGTTGAAGCAGAAGCAGACTTGGCCAGTCTCTGGTCACTTTCTAGTAGGTTAAATTAAACATATCTCCGACAAAGATTAAAAACCTACAAACCATGTCTACCACTCAGAACGAGGTGGTGGGTTTTGTTGGTCAATTAGCTTTTCCTGGATTAGACCCCTTGCTAAGACAGATTTAATAAAATTACATGCAAAGCCTACTACTTCTTGCATATCTGAAATTTGATGAGTTAATCGACAGTATTTACGGTATGTTTTTGGATTAGACAATGTATTGACTTTGAAGATTTAAGCAGGGAGATACAAATTTGAATGGTCTTCTTTCTTTTCCTTGAGATTCTCAAGAAAGAAAATATGTTAGCTCCAACTTGACTAAATATATGGTCAAGAATAAGGATCTATATTATTTATAACCATTCTCGTATTACTAACAATCACATTTTGCCATGCCAAGACAGCATCTTTTCACTCCCCTCAGAATTCTTGATTAAAATTAAAACATATCTAATGCATTTGAAAGCTTTCATAAACTTCCATTTACTGAGAAAGGGGGAGGTTGGTTAACAGTTTCTATCACGTGCTTTGCAGAACCGTAGAGCCCCATGAGGTATGTATAGTACTCATTGTTTATGGAAAACCAGAGCTCTATGCCTATTTATAAAGTTACAGAGATGTTCCTACGACTTAATTAATCATAAATTTAAGTCGGCCTTGATGAATGCATACCATGTTCTCCTTGGTCCCAAAGGTTGCAGACATGGCATTATACAAAACATGTTGAAGCCCAAGCATCATTCTGCACCAGAATCTTTCACCAACCACTGAATTAAGGATAAAAATATAATAGTCATGTAGAACCATCACCAGAAGTCATTGATTGCCCTAGAG